GCAAACACAGAAGGCCTGGTCCCTTTCCAAAAAAAGAATGAGAACAAAGTCAGAGTGCAAGAGGATGGCTGAAAGAACTGAGGTTTAAACCAAAGCCAGCTGCCTCCTAGGAAAATGCAGTTTCTCCTGAGTCCTCTCTTGACAGTTTTGACAGGTTTATATCGGAACCAATATAATTTCCAATAGCAAAATTACCTTCATAACCCCTGCAATTCTTGGATTACCCTAACAGTCTAGACAGCACAGATGTGTCTGCACTAAGCTGGTGATTCTGCTCTCACCTGCACCACAGCAGCTGTTTTTTCTGTCGATGGCTCTTTCATTTTATAGGTGACTAATGCATCAAGCTGCTGGAAAATGGGCCAGTCAGCATTCAAATATGCAGCTCACATCTCTATCTGATTTTTAATTTTTGAGCACAGATGCAGCATTTCTGAGGAGAAAGGTCAGACAGAGACCATACTACTATCCATCACTTGACATGTAGTTTTTAAGTTCTCTGAGTAAGGGCCAAGTTTCCTTGTGAAGTAGTGCCAGCACCAAGAATAGAATTTCTTTATTTGCCATGTCTGCCTTTCAGCACCATTCTGTGTGGTTTTTTCCATTGACAGAGTTCACGTTTTGTTCGGGAAAAGTCTGTGTCTACCCTCTATCTGTGAGCATGTGTTTTCTTTTTCATAAGTTCTCTTTGTAAGCTAATGGGTGTAATAGTTGCCTTAATGAGATCACACTGAGGCTCAGGCTTTCCAGGCAGTCACAGGCAGGATTGTGAGGAGTACACGGTTGCAGCTGCTTTGGGTGGGAGCACTGATATGCATGCTTAACCCTCTGGCTCACTTCTTCCCCTTTCCTCACCCACTGATTAGCTGACCTAAAGATTTCCCTAGAAATCCATTTGTCAGGCTGTAAAGTCTTGGCTCTGTTTTTAAGAATAAGAAATAAATTTTGGGTCTACTTAGTAGTCATGTCTTGCTTAACAGCATCAAGGACCATGCAATCAATAGCATTTCTGACATAAAACAGGTTTAAGCTGAAGGTTTGATTAAGATCCAGACCATGCTGTTATATATAGAAATAAAGTAAAGGCAGGGTCATGAAATATTTGCAAAAATAAACACCAGCAGCCAAGCCCACCCTGCAACAAATCATAGGCAGCCTCATAAAGGCCCTTTACAGTCCCTGACAGACATGATGTAAGTGCTGAGTGGCTTGGGCAGCCCCTCCTCAGTCCCTGCCTGCCTGCTCTGGAAGCTCTATACATATCCAGACAGGCACGCTCCCTCCCTCCTGAGGGTCTGCCACTGCAGGGGAAAGGACAGAGCTGCTTTTTGAACTCTGGCATTGAGACTTTCCCTGTGTTCTTCGAAACCCACCTGGACTCCACTGCTACAGTTGTGTGCTATAAGGAACATTACAGTTGTAAGAGAGGCACCACATGAAATACGGGAGGCAGGGAGTGGTATGACTTTCTGGGGAGAAGCTTTAAGGGCATTATTAATTTCATTCAAGTTATATTCATGTCCCTCTAAACTAGGACCAGACTGTGATTTATTGTAGGACCTAACTGCCCTCGCATGTTGTGGGCTGTATAGGAACAAGTAGTAGCTAAACTCCTAAGAAACAATCTAAAATCATAAGGTGAGAGAATTGGGTAGAGCTAACACTATAAAACAACAAAGCACCTTAGAAAAGCTAAAGAAATGAAGCACATATTTATAGGCAGAAGTCTGATTTTGGATTGGGTTTGTTTTGTTTTGTTTTTGTTGCTGTTGGTTTTTTTATTCTCTGTCTCTTATGGGTTGATTCAAAACTATGACAAAAAGGAGCTATTTTAAGATTCAGGAGATTTGTCTCAAAATATTTCTGGAACAGTTGTTCTTGAGGGAAGTATGTATGCCATTACTAGTTTTGTATATTGGCACTGTAACATATGAAATCACATTTCTCAGTCACCTTCAGGGATCCCTTGGAGGTTTTCCATAGAAACCCTTCCACTCTCCCCACTTCCACTTCATAGTGCATAAGTTAAAATGCTGGTTTTAAAAAAAAAAGTTTCTGTCCTGCTTAGGTTATATTTTTTCCCTATAATTTCTGATTTGTTTTCTCCCTATAATTTCTCTACAGGCTTTCTTGAAAGAAGAATATAGCAGGGCAATTTGATGCTGAAGGTAAAATATTCTGTCCTATTATCTCATTTTACCTTCTTAATTACTGTATCTTACCTAAACAAAGCAACTTATTTGTAGCAGAGGACACCATCCGTCACTTAGTGTGTGTTAAATATTAAAATATTTTTATCCTGAAACTACCACCATCTGGAAATAGTTGGCATGGGAAAACAATAAAAAGCCCATCTAAGTTCACAAGTGTTATTGCCTTGAACAAGAAGATTAGCATTCCCATTCATTTATTTATTCTACCAAAACATAACGTTAAGTCATTTTTAAATCCAGTTTGCAAAGCTCCTGATGTTGCTTATGTGTGCTAAAGCCCAAGCTGAGGTTATCATGTTTGCCTTGCAGCAACAAATGTTCAATTTGCACTCCATAAAGCATTGTGCACAGGTTGTAGATGGCTATAGGACATACTTCCCTCAAGGACCACTGTTGCAGAAAGGCCCTCATACCACTCTAATATTCCATATCCTTCAGGTTGATTTGGTTTATATTTGAAGCCAGAGCACTGAGCATCTTCTGGCATTGAGCTGGTAGGCTATGGAAGAAACAGAAGTGTCCTCAGAATGTTTTCTGTTCTCTGGTGGATATCTTTGATATTAATGAATACAACTCCATATCATGAAGATAAAACTTTTAAAAGCCAAATGGCACCTCTGCCATCTCTTTTTACATTAGTGGCACATTGAAAAGAAGTATAAAATCTGCTTAACACAACATTGTGTCCTCCATTGGAAAAAAATATACCTCATTCTAATCAATAAGTATTTGCCTGAGTAAATATTAGCTCTTCAAACAGCAGCTATATTGGAAGTAGCTGCAGCTATCTCAGTTGCATATGTCAGTCTGAGCAGTTTTTCTGTTTGCTTCTTTTCTAATCCTTGTTCTTTGCACTTCAAGAGAGAATAAGCTAAATTCAAATCTTCTAATCATACCAAGGCAATTCCACAAGCAGGACAACAGATTTATTTGGGCATGTAACTCCTAGTTTATTATTTTACGACTTTGTGAAAACTGTCTTTGATAGTTAACATCCTAACTTCTTCAACATCTGATAGAAAAGCAGATCTGTTACTATTACCCAATGATCCTTTCCCAGTTCACAGGACTTCTTTCTAGGTTCATCAGGCCAGTTTAAACAAGTTTATAATGATGCTTTTTGCCTGCAACTGACCTTCTTGTGCAACTTTTTGGGCTGGATCTGTGACTCCACCTGTAGACACCATAGCCTAATGTTAATAAATGCTGGAGGGATCAACACTTACACCTCAGCCACTGCACTACAAACCAAAGAAAGTTGGCTGTCAGACAAAATTGTTCCAGCCAAGAAACTGTAGTGCCTCTCTCTTCATACCAAGTATTAGACAAGACAGTAAGACAGAGGAGCCATTGAAACAAAGTATTAGCCTAACTCTAGCTGGCAAGAGAGCTTCAGCACAGAAAGTCTCCCCTTGCTCCTCCCACCCCAAGGTTCCCACAGCTGTTCAGCATTTCTTTGTGGTGCTCCTGCCAAGCAGGTGTCTCTGCTTCCCTGAAGGGCTGGTGACAAATGACTATTGGACTTCAATTTCTGCAATGGAAACTGTTTCCATTACAAGCATAAGTAAAATATATCCAAGGGACTGATTCTGGCATCCCAAAGCCTACATGTTTTCATAACCTATACCAACGCAGCCTTATCCTTTCCACAGGTCAGTTCAACGATTTCTTTGTTCCTCAGCTCATTAAACACGAGTTGGCAAACATCACCTCCACTACAGCAGGTACTCCTCTAAAACCCTGGTTTAGAGGCTCAAACCCAGGTCTGCTCAGAACTTCAGATTCAAGAGATTATTAATGCAGGAGAACCACTGCAAAAAGCTTACACACACATTCCTTCCTTATGCATAACTTAAATACTGTCAACACTTTTCTTTGCAGTCTAGTTATTCCTACATTAATAATTCTGCAGTTTAGTACTGAATAGAAGAATTGCATCATATTGTAACAATTTGACCAATCCTAAACTGAGTCTGCCAGAGGTTGATTAACAAACTGCAAACTATGACAGATTTTTAAATTACTTGGTGTTTTTAGTTGATAATGCATGATCAGAGCATTTCCAGCTTTCCAATACATTCTTCACATACAGGGAAGGCAGCTTGAGCTATACTTCAGAATAAGGCTCATGTCAAGTGTTCCTTTAATACATGTTTATAGGAACCAAGCCTGTACATTAAGATGAATCAACATTTTACTACATGGGGTTTTTTTATATTTTCAACATTTTCCAGAAACACTGGAATATCTCTTAATCACAAAGTACATGACTTGGCTCTTTTGTTGAGAGAAGGCTCACTGAAGTCCTTCAGGATATCTGACAAGCAGGTGCCTGTAGGGGAATGGATATGACAGTATCTAGAGTAACCATGCTAGCAAAATTCAGCAGCAAGAAAATAACTCTTGAAACTTTATTACCCTTCAAATCCTGCTATCAGCATTTCAGTTATGCTAACTAGCAATCAGGTTGCTTATTTAAATAGTTATCTATACCACAGAGAGTGTTTTCTGTAATAGCTGACAGTTTATTCAGGTGTTAAACTTAACACTGCTCTGGCACTACTACTTAATCTCACAGCCCAGATACCTATCTTAATGAACTTTTCATGCTATGGTTTTGCTCATGGGTGATACAACTTAAAACTTTGATATTTCATTCAAAAATTAAGAGTAGCTGTGCAAGCAGTGTTTCATTTAAAAAGCATTGATTCCCAGAATTATTACAGGATCTTCTCCTAGACAAATTTTTACAGTCTTTCCCCAGATTAAAAATAATATTCAACTCAATACTTAAAAGGTTCTTTATTTTTCTCGTAGGCTTTCAGGAAACCTTAAAAATCAGTTTCACAACACAGACTGATATTGCAAAGCAGTGGAGGTGCAGTTCAAAAGAAAAAAACCTAACCCATAGTGTCTTCAAATATAAAAATATATATCCAAATTATTACCTAGGGAAAGTGTACCACCATTTCTGACTTAAGCTGGTCCTGCCAGCTTTTGGGTCATAACTCCCACTACAGAGCTCAAGAGCTCACACTGGAAGGAGCATCTCCGAGGTTCATGTCACAGGCATGATTCAGAGCAAACTGCTTTGCTGCAGCATATGAACCCAATCTTAGATTTTCTGAAAGCATTCCATAGTTTTCCCTTGGGCAGTGGGTAATAAGCATCCAAACATCTCCTGGGAAGCGTAGGTCATATACACAAAGCCATCTTCATCTTTGTAGTCCCTGTACACTTCTGCCATTGTCAAGGACATACTGGCTAGGCTTTTGTTGCTCACCAGCAGGTAGAAAGCTTGTGTAGCTGTAAGAGCCATCCTACTTCTAATTGAAAAAGAGAGGAGAAAAAGAGGATTAAACATTAACAAGTTGAATATGATTTCAACTTCAGTCTATGACATACATTAAGCAGAGCAGTTGCATGAAGTAGGTACAAGAAATGATGTGTAAAGTTATTGTTATATTCTTCCATCAGCAGGAAATTAACTGGAAGCTCAAAGGCCTGTGCTCTGAGGAAAGGCTTACATGGCTACGCCAAAGGTGCTACTGAGCATGGGCTTGGAGTTCCCAGTTACCAGGAAAAAGTGTGAATAACCAAAGAAGAAACCAAAAGCTTCCATAGTGCAGATTTTGTAAAGGAGTCCAGCTCCAGTCTGTTACATTTACTATAAAGTCTACCTTCAAAAAACAAGCCCTTTTCAGAGACATTACATGCAAGGATTACAATCTAAGTTGACCAAGAGCCAAAAGCATCTTTTACAGAAGTTAAAATCTAGAAAGATCTTTTTCTATGCTTTAAAAAGTGTGCTAAAAACATAGCTTTCACATTTTGTCAGAAGATACCACTGAGTATTTTGGGTGACTTCTTTGCTGTAGTGTTTGTTTCACAAAGAATAATTTAGAACATTTCATTTTGCTCACATTCAAGAGCTGCTTTGAACTTGAGCTAATTCAACTAGGTACACCAAGAGAGCAAGGCAGTGAGAGTCATAAGCAGAACAAGATCACAGAGCCCCAGTATCAAGTCTATGAGGCAAGAAAAGAGCAGAACAAGAGTCTTACATAGTCTTTTTTCACTACAATTACGGAGAAGGGAGAGGACTATGAACCCAAAAAAGACCACATTTTTCACACAAATGCACCTATGAAAGCATCTGTTTATTATCTTCAAACACTTGCAAGAGAAGGAAGCCATTACATTACTAACACCTTTAGTGTGATCCTCCCACCCACCAAAGGAAGCAAGAAGCCCCCAGCAGCACACTTAGGAAATACCTTCCCTGGGAACAGCGGCCAAGCCCAGGTGTAAATCCAGACAAGTAGTATGCACTACCCACCTGATGATGGTTATGAACTGTGCCATGGTCAGCTCCTCGGGAACCAGAAATTTGGTTTTGTCCAAGAGAGGAAGGTATTTCTCTTTATGGTATCTCTCAACAATTACCTGTTTTAATTAGAGTCACACTTAGCAAAACCTAAAATATCCGTATCCTTTTCCCTCCCCTCACACGCTTCTTTCCTTAAACAGCGGCAATAACCTCCGTTAACAAACCAGAGATTTACCGGGATTTTTGTCGGGAACTTGGCTCGGATCCCTGCTACTTCTTCCCGCCGGGTGGCTGCGGGGCAGAGGGGAGAAGAGAAGAGTTACGTGTGCTCGCAGCCCCTACGACCCGCGCACCCCTCCGCGCCCCCGGCGCCCCTACCGAGACTCTTCCTGAGCTTGAAGGGCCGGTCCGGCTGCGCGCCGGGCGCCGCCCGCATCCTCCCGCCTCGGGGCCGCCGCTGCGCCCGCCGGCCCGCGCCTCGCACGGACCGGGGCCGCCCCGCCCCGCCCCGCCCGGCACCGCCCCGCCCCGGCACCGCCCCGCCCCGCCCGGCAGCGGCGCCGCGGCCAACGGGAGAGGCGCGGCCGCTGAGCCCGCCCCTCCGGCCGTCCCACAGCGCGCTGCCGCGGTGAGGGTACCCGCTGCGAGGTGTGCTGGCTACGGGACACTGCCGTGCGTCGTGAGAGGGCTTAGTCTACCCACCCCAGTGGTTCAGCGGTGCAGCTCACGGCTGGAGTGGCCCCAGCTGTCTTCCCTTTCCACATGAGCAGCCTTCTTCATACCGACAAACAGCTTTCAAGCGATGTCTTTGGTACACAAAAAACTCCAAAAACAACAACAAAAAAACCCTACCCCCACCCAAAAACCCAACCACCCGCCCCTGTCATTTTTCATCTCCTCAGGCTACCAGACTGCTTATTTTCTGAATGACTCAAGAGCTCTGGTTTTGTCTCTGAGGCACAGTTGTGATTTTAAGGGGTTTCAAGCAGACTTCAAGTCCATCTATTTGGTAAATATGATTCCTTGCCTTTTGGATTTCTGGTTCACCTGAGTTTGCTTCAGCTGTCAAGATGGCTTTGCAGACTAACATGGCTCAGCAAGGGGTAAAGTTGACTCCAGTCTGGTGGTTGTGTTTATAAATCATCTCAATGGGGGTCTGGAACTGATCCTTATTACTTGTTTGCTTTACTTATCCCTTTAAAATATAGGAATTTTCATTTTATTTTATCTATCATTCTGATCATGATCTAGTTGATGTGGCACTTACGGACATGGTTTAGTGATGGATTTGACAGTGCTAGTTAATGGATCAACTCAAGGATCTTACAGGTATTTTCCAGTTTAAACTCTATTATTTTACCAGGCTAAGGGCAACTGGAATTTGCTAATTTTTACAACTTACAGTTTACAAGCTATGGCAAAGTCAATTACTGTCACCCAAGATAATTTTGAAAAGGAACGTCTTTATTAAAGTGTCTGTGCACTATCTACACGTGTCAGGTTTTTCAAACAGCCTCTCCAGAACAGAGTTTCCAGTGGCTGCAGTCCTTAAGGCTGCTGAGCTGTCCTTTTCTCTTGATCTGGAAGCGATGAGCATCAGCCACAGCACAAGCTCCCCCACGTGGCAGCACAAACTATGTTGCAGAGTAGATACTTGGCTTTGAGGGACTCATAAGCAAGACCTCTGAACTTTGAGAAAGGCCTTGAGCCTATGCTAGAATGGTTTGGGTACAGCTCATCCCTATGATTTGATCTTTGCATGAGGGCAGGTAAGACCAGGGATTGGCTTAAGTATCTGGGTCTAGCTTAAGGGCTTTTGAATAGAGGTGAGGTGACAGACTGAGGAAGCCTGAGTGAAGGAGGATGTATGCCAGAGAATTGGCATAGTGCCAGTTATGGTATGGTGAGTTATATCTAAGAAGATGAAGGAAAATAGGAATAATTTGAAGAGTAAAGAAACTGCATGGACAGCACAGGAACAAAGCCTGTAGGAGACAGGAGGATGGGTGGAGATCACAAAGTGTTTATTTGGAACTGTGGTCAAGCATGGGGCTTTCCAAGGCTGTTCAGGAAGTGTATCGGTTTTTCCACACCCTCGTTCTGGTTTCTACCTAGTAGATTCAGTAGAAAGATCTGTGATCCACCTTGTGTAGAGAAGAGGGAACCTGCTATACCCGTGCTCTGCTTCCTGTGTCACCTCTCACTGCAGGTGAAGTACAAAAGTGTGGCTCCACCCAGGTATCAGCAGCCTTGCTTGCAGGGAGAGGTGGTTTCTTTTCATGTTCATAAATTCCTATGGCAGCATCTGGAGAGGAAAGTGAATACCTGGTAAGAAAGTGAGCCAAAGAAGATGAATTCCCAGCAAGCCTGGTGATCAGTTATAGCTCTAATGTCTGTGGGAGCTAAGAGTGAGCATAAACCCAGGCTTTAGTTAGCATGTGCTAATTAATAATGTAAATGTGTCACATTTTCTGAAGGTAGAGAGAATGGGATGTCTAATGTGCCTGCATAGCACCTACACTTGCTTCTGCAGTGAAATACCGAGTTTCAGACCTAAATGTGGAATCTATTCCTTCTTACATCCTTTCCTTTGGAAGTTTTTCTTGCATGCACATAATTAATGAGCTGATAGAGCAATTTTGTGTAGAGAATGGAATAGTCACAGGATACTATTGATACAGAAATGGAAGGACAAAAGTTTCTACCTCCTTGAATGTCCAAAGCCAGCACTTGCAGGCATCCTGTAAGTCCCCAAACATTAAAGGACAAAGTCAGAGTTCTTTATCTTACTTAGCTGTTTCATCCACAGCCTCTTCCAAAGCCCAAAGTCTGCAGCTGTGTGATTGAGTTCTCATGTGTCCACTGTCTCCATACTGAAGTGATCTGCTCTGCAAGTGCTCTCAAACACTCCAATGTGTCCCAGGGACTCAACAACTTAGCCAAAAGCAGCCATCTATTTTTTGCAAGTGCTGTGAGACTTGCACTGCTTTCATATGGATCTGTGAGATACTGTGGATGTAAGGCTCAAGTTATCTGTAGACTAACAATTTAAATATGAATGATACAGTGCTAGAGGGACTGAGATTATTTAAGCAACCTAACTGAATAGCAAGAGAAATGGCAGCGTGATGTTCTTAGGGGGAAAATGTGACTTGGCAAAATGAGGGCTTATTTGTCACTCTACGAAAGCTTGTGAAGTTCTACAGTATTATGCATAGTTATCTTAAATACATGTTTCCATGGGGGTTGTAAGTGAACCATGAGGATGAAAGTGAAAATAATCAGGAGGTTTTGAAGAGCCCTCAAACAGTCAGGCTCAGCCAACCAATTTAATGGGTTTTAAAAGAGCCATCCTAAATATTTGCATGCTTCCTGAACACAGGGAGTTACAGATATGGAATCCTTTGCTTACTTCTTTCTTCTGCAACTCTGAATCTGTCTATATCTCCTCCTGTGACACAGAAGCAAGCCCACTCTTATGGATAAGCCTGAAGTTATTGTATGCCAGTAACTAAATTTCTGAATTCATAAGTCTTTATACCAAAAACGCTAGCTGGAGTATTATTATGTTTAAGGGGATGCTTAGTACTGTACTATGATTTTGGTCCAAACTCACCCACTAATAAGACTCAGATTATAAACTTGTCTCAAAATGCTGAGATAAATTTCAAGGTCAGCAGTCGTAATTCTCACTTGATTAGCTAGGGTTTATATGTACTTTTGGCTCTTTTTCTTTATCTCTTGATTTTTTAACTCTTATATTGAACCTACGTCATAACTGATGATTTCTTGGTGTAGCCACAAGGATTAGAAATTATTTATGATACTTTTAAACCAGAGATTACATTACTTTCTTGTACCAGAGCTTGAGATTTTGATCTTAAAATGTCTCTTCTGCAGAAGAAACTTCAGTTAGACTCAATAATTCTCTCTTATCTTTACCTGTATGCCTGGTATTCAGCTCATTGTGATGGAATAGTTTCTTGAAACTAGCATTTGGATTCAAGTGCACCAGTTGTACTTTTCTCTTCATTGTGCTCTTTCATTTCAAGATTTTTAAAATTGTTCTCAATATTAATTAGCTAAATTTTCAACCAAATTGAAAGAGCTGAGCTCTAGTGGTGTATCCTCAGTAGTGTTTTAAGTTCTTTCACATGTAAGTCCTCATAGTTTAGCATTTTAAATTTTACAAGAATTTGAGACCTAAATTCTCTGTGGTTTTCAGCAAGGGTTACTCAAATTGGTGATTCTGACTAGACATAAAGCCAAAAATAAATCAGTTACTCTCTTTGAGAAAAGCTGGTGCAAGCTGGCAACCTGTTGGTCACGGTCCCTGCAAGTACATCTTTGACTTTCTGTTTCCTGCTGTAGCAGTGGTTCACTGGCTTTTTGCCCTACAGGTGTGGGAGGATGGATTGTGAGAGAATAGAGACAGTGCTGAAGGCAATCTCGCCCCTGAGGGGCTGCAGCTGTACTAATTACCAAAGATTAGGAACAGCCTTGCCTTTAACAGGTCACAGCTGTGTCCAGTAAGGATGGGTGTTAGAAAAGAGTGGGTCAGCTGGTTGAGGGGAGAGTTGGAGTCATTTGGCTGTGCTGCTGTGAGGAGCAAGGGTCAGGCAGCTGTGCAGAAGGAAGAGAAAAGGAGTCCGTGTTGTGAGAACTGCCCATGAGAACTCACAGGGAGAATGTATGAAAGTCTTACAGTAAGATAATAAACTAACAGTGGCAGTCAGTTCCCATCCACCATCAATTACTGCCAAGCACCAACACTGACAATTGGTGACCCATACAATGATGGATCCTGACATACAGGGACTGAACTCAAGGTCTAGGCAAATGTTAAAAAGGAAAAAACATTATTGGATCTTCCTTTCCTATCATCTGTTCTCTTATTATAATTTATAAGATGCAATGTGTTATGTTTTCTGTCTACAGAAAAAACAGAACTGATATTGTTGCTACTAGGCAATTTCCTTGAGAAACTAAAGCAGTGTTCTTCTTGTGGACTGGAATTATGGGCACAATTTCTTTCTTATCTTGCTGTATCTGCTGTTTGACTTGGTAGAACACTTGCACTCTGGTTTGCTGGTTTTAGTAATGCTCCTACTATGAGTACAACTCGTGGTGCTGGTGCCTTGGTGAGAAGCAACAGCATCACTTGCTCTGCAAATATGGATGTAAAACTTACTCTTTGTCCAAATATGATCATAATATTGTCTGAAGTGTTTTTTTCTTCCACGCAGGGCTTTAAAGTATTTTGTCCAATGTAGTTCAGTTCTTTTTAGATAGGATGTCTTTGGCTTTATTGCAGACTTTTCCTGTCCTCCCCATTGAGGTTCCAAAGAATGTGTCAGACAATGCCAAAAGTTGGGTTTTGGTTTGTATATACTGGAAACTGGCTTCTACTTTAGCCTTCAAAAAGGCTGTTTGTTACTGTCTGTTTGACAGATAGAAGAGGGTTTT